GATTTGAAAACTTAGTTTTTAGCAGTTCTGAGGCTGTCACCACCAGCAATGAGGCAGTGGAAAAAGGCCTAAAGGAAGCTGCCAAGGCTTGCATACATAAGGGAAGGTGCTTCTGGAACCATTAGCATATTGTTGAAAGTGACAGCAGTAATGTGAAGAAAGTGATGGGGGAAGGGGGTAGAGGAGAAGATATCTGGAGAAATTGTCATTGCTAGAGTGTAGTAGAGGCTGCCTCAAGCCCTGGTATGAAATCTACTGAGCAGAGTGGACCAGCAATACCTGGGATATGGGCACTGCTGGTAGCACACTGCTGTTGCCAGTTGACAGTAATTACTCCCAAAGAAGAACTCTAAATTCATGAAGATAATAAATAAAAATCTTTAATAAAATAAATAAATAAATAAATTCATGAAGATGTTGCTCATTAGGTTGAATGTTTGAAATCACTGGACAAACCCCTCCTAGTGGATTCCATTTAATAAATTACATGAAAATGCATGACACTCTTGAGTATGTCAGTTCTGAAATGAACGGTAAGTACACTAGAAAGGCCACGTAAGTCCATTTAAAACAGGCTAGGAACAGGGACCTGGGAGATACTTGCTTGTATTGTGGTAAAGAAATGTTAATAACAGCATTGCAGAAAGTGATAAGACAAAGGTTGGAATGTGTCTCTAGGTGTGCCCTCAAAGGCTTACACCTGGAATGTTGTACAGAATTATCTAAACTATCTTAGGTAAAAGTTGGGTGCATCTCTCGTTGTTAGATATGGATCCTCTTCTATGGTATGGAGGCATAATGGAGAGAGTTCATTGCATAAAAGCAAAAGAGTAATAAACTATTCAAATACAACTGAAGACCTCCATGAAACTGTGCACTAGAGTGAAAAATACTGAGGAGAGTTTTGTACTGCTAGGTTGAATACTCGTATTACAGGTAGTGTTAGTACATTTATAGTGTGACTTTCTTTCCTGATGTAATAAGGTTAATGAACTCATGCTCTTTTTCTAGGTTACAGAGTTCTGGTTGTATATGATATACAGTAGCCAATTGAAGCAGGCACTGTTAGTGCCTTACCCAATATCCCCTAGGCCCAGCTCTGCAGTTGTGGTAAACAATTTCCACCATGATAGCAGCTCCCTACCCCAAGGGCCTGCCTCTCTGCTTAGTGGCTCTCTGCAGCATCAGAGGAGTTTGCTGAGCCACACACTGGAGCAACTCGAAGGGCAGGAGAGTTAATGGCCCAGAAACAACTCCCAACAATAGAGAAGGAGAATGGTGAACTAGTGCCCTACCCTTCCAGCCTGTGATAGAAAAATTCTGAGATGCCCTCCACACAGTTTCACAGAATGTGCTCAAGACATTTGAGCCCGGGATCCCTGGGTGGTGCAGCGGTTTGGCGCCTGCCTTTGGCCCAGGGCGCGATCCTGGAGACCCGGGATCGAATCCCACATCGGGCTTCCGGTGCATGGAGCCTGCTTCTCCCTCTGCCTGTGTCTCTGCCTCTCTCTCTCTCTGTGACTATCATAAATAAATAAAAATTAAAAAAAAAGACATTTGAGCCCCCATCTCCCACTGTGGTAATCTGCTAATTAATGTACCCAATCTTAGTTTTTCTGTCTTCCTGTCTCATTGCTCATCCCCTAGATGTGCTTCCAGGGATCACTTCTCAAAAAAACCAACTGGACCCATGTTCTTGTCTCAGGGTCTGTCTTCCAGATAAACAGAACCAACGGGATAAACAGATCTATATCTGTACCTATATCTACATCCACATCTATATATATATTGAAAGAGAGAGGGATCCCTGGGTGGCGCAGCGGTTTGGCACCTGCCTTTGGCCCAGGGCGCGATCCTGGAGACCCGGGATCGAATCCCACATCGGGCTTCTGGTGCATGGAGCCTGCTTCTCCCTCTGCCTGTGTCTCTGCCTCTCTCTCTCTCTCTCTCTCTCTGTGACTATCATAAATAAAAATAAAAAAAAATTTTAAAAAAAGAAAGAGAGATTCCAAGGAAATGGTTCACACAATTATAGACTGATGAGTTCAAAATCTACAGAGGCAATGTTGCAGATTAAGTCTGAAGGCAGGCAGGCTGCTACAGAACCAGGAAGAGTCCGTCAATGTGCCAGTTCAAAGGCTATCAGGCAGTAGAATTCTTACTCTGGGAAAGGTAAGCCTTTTGCTCTATTTAAGTTTCCAATGGATTGAATAAGGTCCAACCACATTATGGAGGGCAGAGTGCTTTATGTAGTCTACTTCTTTAAATGTTAATTTCATCCTGAAACACCTTCACAAAAACATCAGGATAAGTTTGACCAAACATGCAGGCACTCCATGGTCTGGTGAAGTTGGTCATAAAATCAACTGTTACAAGGTCTGATTTGGGAGAAATCCAAACTAAGGCACCAAGCGTAGTTCACTCTTCAATTTGTAATGAGAGCAAAAACCTCTAAGAAGAGCGTTTGTTTTATAACAATCATCCACCTCAAGAACTGTACTTTGCACTCTTTGACAATTTGTCCACATTCCAGGACATAAACTTATGGCCCCGTTAAGGAGCCCTCTGAGAAAACCAGACCTGGTGTCACTGTCCATGAATTTGATACAGGAAGAGTTCTGGTCCAGGATGAAATAAAAGTTTGGTGTGTGCGCATTCAGTACACTCTGCTTAACATCTGCCCTGATCTTCAGGTATGTTTTGTCTTTCTCTGGAGGAGGCACTTAGTTCTACTAATAGGGAGGTGGGAAGGTTGCTTATTCCAGCTACATACACCACCTTCCCCCACTCTTAGGAGGGTCCCAAGCCAGTCACAGTAGCTAAAAATGGTCCCTGGTTGTGTCGCTGTCCGAGGTGCTGACTGAATGCTCAAGCCTCCACGTTATGCCTGTTTTTCTGTCCTTTTGTGCTACCCAGTGTTTTTTGGTTTTGTTTTTAAAGATTTTATTTTTTTTTCAGAGAGAGAGAGAGAGAACGAATGGGGGGAGGGGCAGAGAGAGAGGGAGAAGCAGACTCCCCACCAAGCAGGGAGCTCCTCTATCCCAGGACCCTGAGATCATGACCTGAGTGGAAGGCAGATGCTTAACCGACTGAGCCACCCAGATGCCCCCTTATTTTTAATGCTCAAAAAGATGCCGAAGACTGAAAGTTCAGCAGGGTTTTTGAGACATAGAATTAAGGAGCAAACATGAGATTTTGGCTTCTGCAGAGGTTTGTTACAGGATTTAGGGCTCAAGCCTATGTGTCTCCATTCACACTGAAGAATCAACATTTTTTTGCTGTTGCATATTCCCAGAACAAATTCCGGTATTTAGCACAATTAATGGAAGAGAGCAGAGCTAAACAGAGCAGCCAGGGCTGCAGCTTGTAGACTATTAACCAAAAAGGAGAGGCACAGGGGTGCCCGGGGTGGCTCAGTTGGTTAAGCATCTGCCTTCAGCTCAGGTCATGATCCTCGAGTCCTGCAGTTGAGCCCCACATTGGACTCCGTGCTCAGCGGGGAGTCTGCTTCTGCCTCTCCCTCTGCCCACCCCCGAATCCGCGCTCATGTGCTCATGCTCTTTTTCTCTGAAACAAATAAATCTTTCTTTCTTTCTTTCTTTCTTTCTTTCTTTCTTTCTTTCTTTCTTCTTTCTTTTTTTTTTTTTTAAGGGAGGCACTGTACTTTGGCAATCTCTGGCTTGGAATTTTCCTCTTTCTGACTTCCTACATCCAGTCCATCAGAAAGCCCTGTGACTTCTATCTTTGAAATATTTCCCTTGGATCGGTCTACTTTGTCTCACCTCTGCCACTTCCCTGACAACAATGATCATGGTCACTACTGCCGTCACCACCCCGCTCTAAAAGTTCTAATTACCATCTTTGGTAATCGCTGGGATCATCCCTTTAGGAGAACATTTTCAAAGCAGACTAAGTCAAAGTATAGGTATATGGCGCAAGTGGCTTGTCAGAATATGCGCACCAGGGAATCCCTCGGTGGCTCAGTGGTTTGGTGCCCGCCTTCCGCCCAGGGCCTGATCCTGGAGTCCGAGGATCGAGTCCCACGCCGGGCTCCCTGCAGGGAGCCTGCTTCTCCCTCTGCCTGTGCCTCTGCTTCTCTCTGTGTCTCTCATGAATAAATAAATAAATCTTTAGAAAAAGAATATGCGCACCAACTTGCATCCTCATCAACACTGTATGGGGGTGCGAGAGTCACTCTTGCACAAGTGGCAAAAGCTCTAAGAGGCAATACATTTGCTTAAAACAAACAAAAATGGGTGCGTTTTATTGCATGCAAACTCTACCTCCATAAAAAGAACAAAAGAAACACATTACAAAAAAAGAAGAAGAAAACCCCCGAGTAATGATCCTGTGCCGTGGCTGGGACAAGTGTGTGCAGGCAGCGCTTAAAGACGAACTCCTGAAGCGGGTCCTGTTGCACAGACGGGGTGTCGAGGCTCAACTCAGCGAGCTTGCCCACGGCAACCCGGGGATTTCGCAGGGTCAGGGAAGCTCCCTGAGGCCGCACAGCAGCGAGCCCTGGCGGCGGGGCTCGGTTCGTCGCCTGCGGCAGCGCGGCCGCTTCCTTCTCGGCGCGCGGGGCGGGTGCGGCGGCGGCGGCGACGAGGAGGGGGGGAGGGGAGGGGAGGGGAGGGGAGGGGAGGGGAGGGGAGGGGAGGGGAGGGGAGGGGAGGGGAGGGGAGGGGGCGAGGCGAGGCGAGGCGGCCGCGCGCGCCGGCGGGGTGGGGGTGGGGGTTCCGGGAGCCGCGGGGTCGCGGCAGCGGCTGTGACGTCAGCACGCCGGCCGCCGCGTCCCAGGGCGGCTCGGGGCGGGGGCCCGCGGTCGAGCAGCTCCGCCGCCGCCGCCGCCGGTCGCTGGCCCACGCGGGACCGCCGCCCGCGACAGCTGCCGCCCGGGTGCCGGGTGCCGGGTGCCGGGTGCCGGGTGCCCGGGGCGCGCCATGAAGTCCGCGCGCAGCTCGCGCGGGGCTGGGGCGGGGGCGGGGGCGGGGGCGGGGGGCCGCGGCGGCTGGGGCGGGGGGCGGGGCGGCGAGGGCGGCTCCGGGGCGCGGCCGCGTGACTCGGGCGGCCGGGGCCGTGGGCGCGGCGGGGGCGGGGGCGGCGGGGGCGGGCAGCGGCGCGGCGGCGCGGCGAGGAGCAAGAGCCGCCGCAGGAAGGGCGCCGCGGGCGTGTCGGTGGAGCCGCACAGGCACGAGGGCGTGTTCATCTACCGCGGCGCGGAGGACGCGCTGGTGACGCTGAACATGGTGCCGGGCCAGTCGGTGTACGGCGAGCGGCGGCTCACGGTGACCGAGGGCGGCGTCAAGCAGGAGTACCGCGCCTGGAACCCCTTCCGCTCCAAGCTGGCGGCCGCCATCCTGGGCGGGGTCGACCAGATCCACATCAAGCCCAAGTCCAAGGTGCTGTACCTGGGCGCCGCCTCGGGGACCACGGTCTCCCACGTCTCCGACATCATCGGCCCGGACGGCCTGGTCTACGCGGTCGAGTTCTCCCACCGGGCTGGCCGCGACCTGGTCAACGTGGCCAAGAAGCGAACCAACATCATCCCGGTCCTCGAGGACGCCCGGCACCCCCTCAAGTACCGCATGCTTATCGGGATGGTGGACGTGATCTTTGCCGACGTGGCCCAGCCCGACCAGTCCCGCATAGTGGCTTTGAACGCCCACACCTTCCTGCGCAACGGGGGCCACTTCCTCATCTCCATCAAGGCCAACTGCATCGACTCGACGGCGTCCGCCGAGGCGGTGTTTGCTTCCGAGGTGAGGAAGCTGCAGCAGGAGAACCTCAAGCCCCAGGAGCAGCTGACCCTGGAGCCGTACGAGAGGGACCACGCCGTGGTGGTCGGCGTCTACCGGCCGGTTCCCCGGAGCGGCGCCAAGTAGCCCCCAGCGCGGGCTGCGCCTGCGCTCCCTGCCGGACCGCCGGACCGTGCTGCGTTCGGTAGACCCGTGCATGCGGCTGTGTGCCTGTTCGTTTGCTTTTTATGTGTTGGTTTTCTTTTGCCCATTAAATGGCACGAAGAAACAGTACCCAGGTGTATCAGTGAGGCCAGACGGTTTTACCGCAATAACCATCGGTCCCTGAATCTCCGTATCTTCAGATCCCTCAGCCGCTGAAGTAAGAGCTGGTGATAGGGACCCATCAAGGAACAGCCTGAGAGTCGTGCTTTACTCTAATCACTTAGGACCCTGATGTCCCCGGGCTCCTCCTCACGCGCGCTTTCTCATCACGGGGGCAAGGGGGAGGGGGGAAAGAGCTGGGGAACTGCTGATGGGCCTGTAAAGTCCGCCTTGGGACCCAAGGACCGTTTCGGTTTACGTTGGCTAAGTCGCATGACCAAGCTGGACTCCAGGGAATGGCGCTGGAGATTGATGGATGATGGTATAGTGTAACGCATCCAATCTGTCTGACTCTAAGCCAGAGTTCTAGTACACTGTGTGTGTTTAGTACTTTACTCTTCAACTAAGCCCTTTTGCCTTCTCTAATACTTACTCATCACCACCACCCCCCCCCCCCCCCCGCTGGGATGGCTTTGTTAACCATTTCCCTTTTGTTGTAAAGCAGCAAGGGCTTCTGAAGGTGAACTGGTTGCCCAACTTTGCATAGCCAGTTAGGAGATTGAATTTAAATCCCAATCTTTTGGGCTCTAAATCTACTGCTATTTCCTCTATACCAGTGGGATCATACCTCTCACCTACATGGCCCACACTGGACAGGCTGCAGGTCCCCACATGTAGACACACAAAGAACAGAGTTCTGTAGTTACCCTGCGTTCTTTCTTCCACCTCTCTGTGCTGTCCTTTGACTTCAAAATAACACAACCAGGGGATCCCTGGGTGGCGCAGCGGTTTGGCGCCTGCCTTTGGCCCAGGGCGCGATCTTGGAGACCCGGGATCGAATCCCACATCGGGCTCCCGGTGCATGGAGCCTGCTTCTCCCTCTGCCTATGTCTCTGCCTCTCTCTCTCTGTGTGACTATCATAAATTAAAAACAACAACAACAAAATAACACAACCAGGCAAGGGGGTACGATGTGGGTCTGCTTTGCAAAGTGTTCCCATGGCAAGGCGTGACATACCCGAAATGGTATCACCAAGTGTCTTGTCTGAGAAACAGCCAGAAAAATGACTTCAGAAAGTATCTGTTTCTGAAGGGCATTTCCTGCAGACCTTGAGTTGCTGGGCTCATTGCGTTCAATTCTGGCTCTCTAAACCAGCCCAAAGGGACTGGGAGAGTAAACAGTCCCAGGGAAGCTGGAAATGTTCCCAAACCAGACCTTTAAAAAGAGATTTTATTTATTCATTCACTCATACATTCAAAACAAAACAAAACAAAAAAAACATTGCCGAGGTCATTGATAGTGAGTCTGGGAATGATTGCTCACTAATGCATTCTTTGGAGAATGGTTCTGCCTTCCTAAAGATGTGCTGGGGGCAGAGATTGCAGTTAGTCTGCATTTTCTGAGAGGATATTTCCTGAACAAAATGGGATAAGTCAGATTTTTTAAAAGGCATCCATCCCTCCACTCCTCCCCTCCTCCCCCACCACATGCACACCAATGCTATACTGCAGGGTGTGAACTACCGTTCAGATTTGTTGGCCAGTTGGACTCGGAGAATAGGGGGAATGGAATAAATGCCTACAAAAACCCAAACCAATCATTTCAAAAAAGAATGTGAACTCTTCATTACAACTCTACAAAGCAAGGATCATTATTTCCCTTTAACAGATGAGAAAACTGCGGTTCAGAGAGGTGACATGACTTGCTTAAGATTCTCTAGTAGGGCTTGCAGCCAGAAATCAGACCCATAGGAATCTGACTCCAAAACCCTTTCTTAGGGTTATTAATCCTAGGCTTATTAACTTGATGCCGGGATGAATCCCCGAGCTGGGGATGGACTCCCAGGAAACTTCCATGATGTGACAGGATCCAGTCAGAGTCAGCTCAGCCTCAAAAAGGAGCACTTGGTTCTTCCTTACAGGGAAAACTCAGCCTCTTTCCTTGCCATGAGCCCTCCCATACACACACAGAGACAATTTATAGTCCATGTCTGAAGCTGCTTGGAGTGGGAATATCAGAGGAGAAATGGGACACAAATAACCTCCTTAAAGAACGTCTCTGAGTTGCAGATGGGTTTCCGGGCCAATGGAAGAACACTGTTAAGTATCAAGAGAAATATGGGACTAAGAGCTAAGGGAATAAAGGAAGGAAGCTGGAACTTGGTTTGGAGAATTAAAGGCAGGTAAAAATATGGGACTGGAACTCCAGTTGGGTAGCGAGGTCCAGGAAGTCAGCTGCAGTGACACTGGGCACCCAGGACGCTCAGAGCCAAGCATGCTTGGGTTCCTAGAAGGTATTCAGTTGTGATCTCTAGGGGTCTTAGATCGTTTAGGCCTTCGTCACAAAGTACAGTCTGGGTTGCTTAAGCAGTAGATATTTTCTCACAGTTCCGGTGGCTGGCAGACAGTCCAAGGTCAAGGTGCCAGCAAGATTGGTTTCTGGTGAAGCTCCTCTCCTTTGCTTGCTAATGGCCTTTTCTCTGTGTGTTTGGTGTGGGAGGTGGGGAGGGCAGAAGGAGAGCTACCTTTGGTAGCTCTTTCTCTTCTTACAAGGACACCAGTCCTATGAAATTACGGCCTCACCTTTATGACCTCATTTAACCTTAATTACCTCTTAAAGGCCCCATCTCTAAGTGAAGTCACACCGAGGGTTAGCTCTTTAACACTTGCCTTTGGGGCAACACTGTTCAGCCCATAACACAAGGGTGGGACAGGAACCTTCGGCTAAAACGCCTGTCTTACTGGCTTGTGAGAATTGACTGAGGAAACCAACATGCACCGTGAAAATAACTGGACCGAGGTCTGCGTGTTGTCTCTCCTACCTTTCCTCTCTTGTCAATATAAGATGACAAGGTAGCTGAGAATTAAGAATTAGCGTAAAGACCTGGAGAGAACTTAGCAGAGCTTTCAGAGGGGCCTGATGTTCAAGCTGAAAGGTGGATGGAAATTGCTACTGATTTTCAGAGAATCAGCAGCCCAGCAAAAGCCACACTGGAGCCTGGCCTGAGTGTCAGCACATGGCCAGCGGCAGTCACCTCTGCAGCAGGTGCAGGGATGGAAGAGACTCAGAGATAGGAGTGATGAACTCCACGCCAAAGCAAGTCAGCAGAAGCTGGGGGTGCGGAGAACACGCAGATCCAGTCTCACCAAATCTCATCATCACCATAATGTCTGTCAGCCTCCTCCTGCCCAGATGTCTTCTGAGATGAAGGGAGGAAGGCTAGGGAGGGAAAAGACCTGAGAGACTGGACCTTCATCCAAAACTGGAAGAAACCAACTTCCTTTAAATTGGCAGTCTCCTTCCTAGCTGCAATCCTGCTACGCAGCAAGATGCACATCTGAGCTGCAGTGCGTATGTTTGGATTCTGCTTCACTCATATTTTTCAAGTACCTATGAGGTCTCAGGCAGAGAGCTAAGCATTATTTGGTTTTGAAAGATATTTTAAATTTATTTCTTTTTAAAAAGATTTTATTTATTGAGAGAGAGAGAGAGAGAGAACGCAAGGAGGGGGGGCAACAGAGGGAGAGGGAGAAGCAGGCTCTCCGTTGAGCAGGGAGCCAAATGTGGGGCTGGATCCCAGGAGCCAAAGGGAGACAGTTAACTGAGCCACCCAGGTGCCCCAAAATGTTATTTTAAATTTAATAATAAGAACAAACATACCAGAAAAATACTGAAATGAAACCCTGTAAAATGGACACTGGTATTGAAGCTACTTTTAACATCTGTATGGTCTGGAGCAAGAGAACACATGAAAGCCCCTGGCCTGTGGCCTGTCCCTTCCTCTTTCTACCCCTGGCCTACCCCACACCCTGAAAGGCCTCATACATATGTCTGTAGCTTCCTAGCCTTCAAGTCCAAGATCTGTCCCCATGCCCTTCAATAAACAGCCTCCTTTAAGGCACCCCATGAGGCTAGAGTTACAAACTGGAAGTGTGGTCCGCTCTCAGGAGGACTGGACCAGGGAAAAACAATAGAAGTAGGCCCAGGCTGCTCAGGCTGGGTTCTGGTGCTTGATGCATGTTCTAGAAGATGGGGACATGGCCTCCTGGGATGCATGGCACTTATTGCCTTTGGACACCTTTGCCCTAGGGGGCAAGGTGCAGAGAGAAGAGACACAAGCCAGAGCAAAGCCCTGTAAAGTACAGAGCCTGGAGCAGGAGCCCTGGTTGCTGATGTCTTAGACTGGCCCCTTTGCCTCTCCACCCACCCACATGTCAACACTCCTTCTTAAGGAGGCAAATCCAACTCTTCCAAGTAGTCTTCCAGGCCTTTGGGCTCACAGGAAATCCCTCTTCTGAAAGCTCTTGATTTAGCTTGTGGTTGGGCTAGCACTTGCTATGCACATTTACTATGCTTCCAGACACATTATTGAACTAACCACCCTTTGAGAGGCAAGTATTATCACCCCCATATGAAAGGTAAGGAAACTAAGCCTCAGCAAAGTGATATGAATCCTCTAACATGGTTTATTTAGAACATGGGAGAGCAGGGCGCCTGGGTGGCTCAGTCAGTTGAGCATCTGACTCTTGGTTTCAGTTCAGGTCACGATTTCATGGGTGGGCTGTGAAATGGAGTCCTGCCTGGGGCTCCATGCTTGTTGGGGAGTCTGCTTGAAGATTCTTTCCCTCTTCCCCTTCCTCCACTCTCTCTCTCTCAAATAAACAGAGAGAGAGAGAGAGAGAGCACCTGGGTGGCTCAGTGATTGAGCATCTGCCTTCGGCTCAGGTCATGATCCCAGGGTCCTGGGATGGAGCCCCATGTTGGGCTCCCTGCTCAGAGGGGAGTCTACTTCTCTCTCTGTCCCCCTCCTTGCTCGTGCTCTCTCTCAAATAAACAAATAAAATCCTAAAAAAAAAAAGTGGGAAAGCAGGATTGTGTTGCTTCTTTAAGTTAGGGAAATTAAAATCAGGTGCTCTACGGAAACACTGGGTCTCCATGTTTGTCAGTCCTGCAGGTGATTCTATTGTGCATCCAGGACTGACACCTACTATTTAAACTTCCATACCATTCTTTTTTTTTAATATTTTTTATTTTATTATTTGAGATAGAGCAAAAGAGCACAGAAGGAAAGGGACAGGGAGAAGCAGACTCCCCACTGAACAGAGAGCCCGATGCGGGGCTCAATCCCAGGACCCCAAGATCACAACCTGAGCTGAAGGCAGATGCCCAACTGACTGAGCCACCCTGTCGCCCCACTTCCATACCACTCTTATAATTGATTTAGTGCAGTATTTTGAATAACTGGAACACAATAGCTGAGCTTTTCTTTGGTGCCTGCTGGTACTCGGGGCCTCTGACAGCCCAGGATACTACCCAAGATTCCAAAGAGGAGGAGGGTTGAAGTCTGTGCCTGAAAACAAAGTTATTAATGTTCCTGTCCATTTGGCCCCTGAGAGCTGCATGCAGATCATACTGTCAAGAATCCAACTGAGCTGGGAGAGAGCTGAGCTCAGGTGTC